GCAATACTTAATTACTTAGAATGTCCAGTCTAGTTCTGAGTGTAAAAGCTATCAATACATTTAGAATGTCCAGTCTAGTTCTGAGTGTAAAAGCTAACAATACATTTAGAATGTCCTTTTCCGGAAGTGTAATTAGTTATCAATGCTTAGAATCTTCAGTCCTGAGAGTAAAAGCTAACAATACTTTTAGAATCTCCATTTCTGGAAGTACAAGCTAACATTCTGAGAATGTCCATTTCCTGGATTGTATGCTAACAATTCTGCTAACGCCCAGTACTGGTGGTGTAAACTAACTTACAATGTCCAGTCCTGAGAGTTAAAGCTAACAATACTTCTAACGCCCAGTACTGGTGGGGTAATTAACAAACTTAGAATGTCCAGTCCTGAGAGTTAAAGCTAACAATACTTCTAACACCCTGAACTGGTGGGGTAAACAAACTTAGAATGTCCAGTCTGGTGAGGGTACATACACACACATGAAGCTTATGAGGTCAACACTCGGATAGCCATTATCTATAAGCAGGGCTAACACAAATATGTCAAAATCTTTCCTTGAATGGGCGTTACATGAGATAATATAACAAACATTTCAAAGAGCTGAGGGCCGTATGACACTTTATATGGATCAGCCAGTAACCCAAACAAATGAATGATTCACCGATAATGGTGATATGAAGCTGAGGTCACCGATTTAGTCCTACGTTCACAACCATTATAGGTTTTATTTCCTCACTTCCATATATGGGTGGATTGGGTGAGTGGTTAACACTTCGGCCTTCCACGCAGGCGGCCAGGGTTTTGATCCCCGAAAACGTCGCACGCATGGAATATCAGAGAAAGTGTTTTTCTCCTGCCCACACAACTCCAACAACCCAGGTGGAGTATACAATGGTCTCGGGTGGATGTTCGGTATCTGTGATGTAGCATTCAAGTGAGGTGGTACTATAAAAGATGCCGTTGGAAGCACGGTCCCGCTACAAACAGAACACAATACATCTCCAGCACACACGCAGACATACACACATAGGGAGATATTAGCCAGGTGGTATAGGACTAGTAGTTAGCGCCTATTATTGAGGCAGCTCCTGCAAATTCCTCAAAAATTGTATATCCTAATTGTATTAATTGTATATCTATGTACTGTAAAGCGCTTTAGAGTGGCTTATATTAGCTAGATAGGGCGCTATATCAAATGTTGTATATTATTAGCTCACCTGGTCCGAAGGACCAAGGTGAGCCTATGCCATACCGTGGCGTCCGTCGTCTGTATGTCAACAATTTCTTTAAACGACTTCTTCTTCTTAACCACTGATTGGAATTCAACTAAATTTGACTGGAAGTATCCATAGGTAGTGGGGATTCAAAATTGTACAAATGGTGGGGCTGACAAATAACTCATAGAAAATCAGACACCAACCTTCATGAGTTTGGGGACCATTTTTCCCACAACATTCAAATATTATATCTGGAAAAAAAAAAATGTTTCTCTCGGAAATACACAAGTGTATTCCTGTTTCTGATTGGGCAAAAATTGCCATGAACTATGACTTCACAATGGAATCCGAAGATGACGTTGTAAACATTGTTTATGATCGATGCCATAGTTAAAGATGGTCCAATGAAATAACATACAGGGCGTTACCCACTAGTGACTAACCAATACTGCTAACCAGCTCTTAGCAGGTTTATCAAACGAGTCGAGAGTGAGGAAATCTATAGCGGTTGTGGGAGTGAGGAAATCTATAGTGGTTGTGGGAGTGAGGAAACCCTATAGTGGTTATATAATAATAATAATAATAATAACAAGAGGCCCAAAGGGCCTGTATCGCTCCCCTGGATATCTCCAAATGAGATCAAAGGGAATATGCCAGACCCCAAGGCCAATCCTTGTAGCATATATCTGTGTAAGTTTTTTCATACCCAGCAATTTTATGTATGGTTATGGGGTGGGGATCTCAACTGTTTCCAAGCTGTGACTCAGAAACCAGGTCCCTAGGGTTGTGGCCAGACCCCATGATCAATTCTAATAACATGAGTGCATTTGTCTTTTTGTACCCAGCATTTGTATATATAGTTTTGAGGTGGGGATCTCAGCCATTTCAATAATAAAAAAAATTTGGCCCCACCCCTTAGCCCGGGGGATTAGCCCAACCATTTGCACAATTTTGAATCCCTGCCTCCAATGAATGCATGGCATAGTTCTGCAAAAGAAATTGTTTATAGCAATATAGCAAAATTGTCCCCTTTTGGCCCTGCCCTCAGCCCCCTGCCCCCTGGGGGGTCAGCCCCACCATTTGTACAATTTTGAATCACCACCACCTAGGGATGCTTCCAGTCAAGTATATTTTTGGCATCCATCGCTTAGTTCCAGAGAAGAAGTCGTTTAAAGCTAAATAACCCTTTTTGGCCCCGCCCCTCAGCCCCCTGGGGGATCAGCCACACCATTTGTACAATTTTGAATCACTGCTCCCATGAATGCTTTTGATCAAATTTGATTGATATCCAGTTCACAGTTCTACAGAAGAAGTCGTTTCTAGCAATATAGCCAAATTACCCCTTTTGGCCACGCCTCTAAGCCACCTGGGGGGTCAGCCCTACCATTTTTTACAATTTTGAATCTCAACCACCTAGGGATGCATCCAGTCATTGAATTAATAACCATGCTTATTCAGCTAGCTGGTAGGTTCAACTAGGATGAAGGTCAGCCACTCGCCAGCTTCCTGTTAGGAAATGCTTTGAGCTTTCCTTCATCTAGTCATTATAATGTGTGTCATACATCTGTGTGTGACTTGCCCAGCCATGACAGTTTTATGTGTAATGTTTTTAGAGGGCTGCAACAATAAATAAACATCATGATACATATAGTAACAGTAGAAGCAAAGCGAAACGATCTGTTGCTAATTTTTATTGGCAATATTACAAACGGAAATAAACTTGGTCCAAAGGGTACAGGTTCAATAAAACACAAATTACATTTTAAGAAATAAGACAGTTGATTAAAATAAACTTATAAATATGGTAAGATTTCAACTGTTTGTATAGGATATTTTCAGCTTGACCATGTGGATGAAACTAGAGAATGTTCTGACTGTTCCACTGGTTACAAACACCTACAACACTTAGACACTTTAAATTAATCAGCTGAATAAAAGCTCCTCATTTACACTGATTATAATAGCTAATGCTAGTCCAACCCTAACCATTGACTATAACTCAATTACCATACAACATAATGTACTGGTGTTATATTTCTGTGATGTTCTGTGGAATTCACTTTATCTGTGGGTACATGTAGCTATTGGTGATTTACTCAGCATATTTATATATATAACAAACACAGCTTCAAACTATCTATAAGGAACACCCATATCATGGGCATCAGTGTATAAGGGCCACTTCTTTGTTAAACATATTTGTCTATAAGGGCTACCTCTCTTTAAATGACATTTGTCTACAAAGGCCACCTCTATAAAGGACATTTGTTTATAAGGACCATATTTGTCCAGAAAGGCCATCTCTCTATAAAGGATGTTTGTCTATAAGGACACCCTCTCTATAAATGATGTTTGTCTATAAGGGCCACCTCTCTATAAAGGATGTTTGTCTATAAGGACACCCTCTCTATAAAGGATGTTTGTCTATAAGGACACCCTCTCTATAAAGGATGTTTATATATAAGGGGCCCCTCTCTATAAAGGACACCTGTATTGAGAGTTACACCTGTTGACTGTCTATATATAACACACATTATCAACCCAGCTGTTGTATACACCATAGCAACAGTGAACAAGTTATACTTGCGTGGAATCTCAAATATCTGCACTTGATGATACAGAAACTTTCTACATCCTTAATGTTTGTAACAAGGAAGTAAGGAACATTATGTAGGACAACTCGGAAGGTTTTGTGATTTAAATTCAAAGACTTATTATCAGTTGTCCCTACTAACAGACAAAAACGTTGTTTTGATATTCTTCTTTGTGTGACGGCCAACATTCTCACTGTAATATTCTTCTTTGTGTGTCGGCCACCATTCTCACTGTAATATTCTTCTTTGTGTGTCGGCCAACATTCTCACTGTAATATTATTCTTTCTGTGTCTGGCCACCATTCTCACTGTAATATTCTTCTTTGTGTGTCGGCCACCATTCTCACTGTAATATTCTTCTTTGTGTTTCTGGCCACCATTCTCACTGTAATATTCTCTGTTCATTACGTTTCTTTCTTCTTCCTTTTTTTTGCATTTCTTCTAGTTATTTTATGATTCCCAATTTTAAAAAAACAACCTGCAAATATACATGTTTTAGTTCACCCAATTTTAGCACATATATCAGATTTTAAGTTATTCACCCAGAAGATGTACATATTTAAACTGTACATGTCCAGTCTTTGATTTGGTAAGGTTCAATGTGACTTTAGGGGTGAATTGGTTGACCAGATAGTTACATTTGTCTCTATACTGATGAATAACTCACGATATATGTAACAGAAAACTACTGTATATACATGTACTGGGAAATTATCGCCCATGAAATCAAATTTTTGCCCTGTGTTAATTTCGCCCTTCAATAATATGTATATTATGTTGTTTACTTATATTCACTGTAATAATAAATCGCTCATCACGAAGGGTGTAAAAGGCGAAAAATAAATTGCGACAACAATTTCCTGGTATACAGTATGAACAGAAGCGCATTTATAATTTAGCACAATATTCCAAGCACTAAAATCAGATAAGATTTCTGCTAAAATATATATATATATAAACATTTACAGCAGTTCTAAAGAATTCCTTGAAAACTATGTCAGGTAGTGATATAAATTTTGTATCAAATAGGGATGTAGTTCAACTGCATACAACCCCTCAAATGACCTTGACCTCATATGCATCATGTTGCAGGTCAAGGTCACCATTGATAGTTCTAAAACGCATAAAAATAACCTTTACTTCATTCCCAAATATATAAAAATAATCTTGACATAATTTCCGTATGTTTCAGGCCAAGATCACTGTTGACAGTCCAAAATTACAAACGTCTGTAACATGGAAGCTGGAGAATAGCCAGAAAGGGGAACCAGCCGTATCCATGACAGCAAATAACAAGGTATAATCGGCCACTTCATAATATAAAGAGATTTTTGTAAAACAAAATGTTTGGCTCACCATAATGTAACTGATGCTTATTTAAGTATTTAATTGTATATTAAGTATTTAATTGTATATTAAGTATGTATATTAAGTATTTAATTGTATATTAATTATTTAATTGTATATTAATTATTTAATTGTATATTAATTATTTAATTGTATATTAAGTATTTAATTGGTATGTTAATTGTTTAATTGGTATGTTAGCCTCGGTATTTAATTGGTATACAAGGTTAATTGGCATGCGAGGTATTTAATTGGTAATTGTTAGGTATTTAATTTATTGGTATGCTATGTATTTAATTAGTATGTTAGGTATTTAATTGGTATGCTAGGTATTTAATTGGTATATTAAGTATTTAATTGGTATTTTTAGTTGATATGTTTGGTATGTTAATAGCTACGGTGACAGACAATCATACATCAGACCAAAATATCGGCCTCTTTTGATGTCAATTAACCAAGTTACACAGACACAAGGTCATTTTGTACCAAATTCATTGATCTTGTCCAATCAATTTCCGTAAAGTCAGGTTTGAATGTATAACTAAAACAAGTATGTATCGCAAGCAGACTTAGTACAAGTCAGGTGGTCCATACCTAAAGGATAATTAAATACCAAAGTTAAAGATCTTGATCCTAAATTGAAACACTGTAGGTCAAAACATATTTACCATATTTTGAATAATCAAATTTTAAGGATATTTACAGTAATTCAATGTACCAAAGATAAATGCATTTGCCGAAATTTGAAAACCCGAAGATACATACCTGGTATATAGATATTTACTGTGATTTAAAATAACAAAGCCGAAAGATCTTTACTGAAATTGAAAAAGCAAAATAATAGATATTTACCTTAGTTTTTGTATGACCAAAAATAAAGGATATTTACAGTAATTTGATGAAACAAAGATAAAACCTACTTTCGCCCAGATTAAGAATGTGCTGGTGATGATAATACATGACCTTATCTCAAATGAAAATTCCAAACATGTGAGGCTTTTTCACCGAGAGCCAGTTTTTATTTCCATTTCCTTGTTATTGAAATGAACGAATTTCACATAACCCCCTAAATATCACGGTATTATGATTCAACTGCCCCTAAATTACTTGTGTTGCTTCTATATGGCCCCCCAGTCTTATTGAATTATTTCAAATACATGTACCCCTAAATATATTTGTGTATTTGTTCTAATACCCCCTAAATCTCTCTACATATTGGTCTACTCTCCCTAAATCTCTCTACATAGTGGTCTACTCTCCCTTAATCTCTCTAAGTATTGGTCTACTCTCCCTAAATCTCTCTACATATTGGTCTACTCTCCCTAAATCGCTCTACATATTGGTCTACTCTCCCTAAATCTCTCTACATATAGGTCTACTCTCCCTAGATCTCTCTACATGTTGGTTTACTCTCCCTAATTCTCTCTACATATTGGTCTACTCTCCCTAAATCTCTCTACATATTGGTCTACTCTCCCTAAATCTCTCTACATATTGGTCTACTCTCCCTAAATCTCTCTACATATTGGTCTACTCTCCCTAAATCTCTTTACATATTGGTCTACCCCCCTAAATGTCTCTATATATAGGTCTACTCTCCCTAAATCTCTCTACATATTGGTCTACCCTCCCTTAATCTCTATACACATTGGTCTACCCTCACTAAATCTCTCTACATATTGGTCTACTCTCCCTAAATCTCTCTACATATTGGTCTACCCTCCCTAAATCTCTCTACATATTGGTCTACACTCCCTAAATCTCTCTGGTCTACCCTCCCTAAATCTCTCTATATATATGTCTACTCTCCCTAAATCTCTCTACATCTTGGTCTACTCTCCCTAAATCTCTCTACATATTGGTCTACCCTCCCTAAATCTCTATACACATTGGTCTACCCTCACTAAATCTCTCTACATATTGGTCTACACTCCCTAAATCTCTCTGGTCTACCCTCCCTAAATCTCTCTACATATTGGTCTACCCTCACTAAATCTCTCTACATATTGGTCTACACTCCCTAAATCTCTCTACATATTGGTCTACTCTCCCTAAATCTCTCTGGTCTACCCTCCCTAAATCTCTCTATATATAGGTCTACTCTCCCTAAATCTCTCTACATCTTGGTCTACTCTCCCTAAATCTCTCTACATATTGGTCTACTCTCCCTAAATATCTCTACATATAGGTCTACTCTCCCTAAATCTCTCTACATATTGGTCTACCCTCCCTAAATCTCTCTACATATTGGTCTACTCTCCCTAAATCTCTTTACACATTGGTCTACTCTCCCTAAATCTCTCTACATATTGGTTTACTCTCCCTAATTCTCTCTACATATTGGTCTACCCTCCCTAAATCTCTCTACATATTAGTCTACCCTCCCTAAATCTCTACATATTGGTCTACTCTCCCTAAATCTCTCTACATATTGGTCTACCCTCCCTAAATCTCTCTATATATTGGTCTACCCTCCCTAAATCTCTCTACATATTGGTCTACTCTCCCTAAATCTCTACATATTGGTCTACCCTCCCTAAATCTCTCTACATATTGGTCTACTCTCCCTAAATCTCTCTACATATAGGTCTACTCTCCCTTAATATCTCTACATATTGGTCTACTCTCCCTAAATCTCTCTACATATTGGTCTACTCTCCCTAAATCCCTTTATTTAGTTTTCCATTGCACCTTTAAGTTATCATGTGTAACAGACGGTGTATATTATGAACCGATCTGAAGTACAGTTACTATATGTGGCTGTAATACAGTATGTCTGAGCCTGAAGTACAGTAACTATATGTGGCTGTAATACAGTATGTCTGAGTCTGAAGTACAGTTACTATATGTGGCTGTAATACAGTATGTCTGAGCCTGAAGTACAGTTACTATATGTGGCTGTAATACAGTATGTCTGAGCCTGAAGTACAGTTACTATATGTGGCTGTAATACAGTATGTCTGAGCCTGAAGTACAGTTACTATATGTGGCTGTAATACAGTATGTCTGAGCCTGAAGTACAGTTACTATATGTGGCTGTAATACAGTATGTCTGAGCCTGAAGTACAGTTACTATATGTGGCTGTAATACAGTATGTCTGAGCCTGAAGTACAGTTACTATATGTGGCTGTAATACAGTATGTCTGAGCCTGAAGTACAGTTACTATATGTGGCTGTAATACAGTATGTCTGAGCCTGAAGTACAGTTACTATATGTGGCTGTAATACAGTATGTCTGAGCCTGAAGTACAGTTACTATATGTGGCTGTAATACAGTATGTCTGAGCCTGAAGTACAGTTACTATATGTGGCTGTAATACAGTATGTCTGAGCCTGAAGTACAGTTACTATATGTGGCTGTAATACAGTATGTCTGAGCCTGAAGTACAGTTACTATATGTGGCTGTAATACAGTATGTCTGAGCCTGAAGTACAGTTACTATATGTGGCTGTAATACAGTATGTCTGAGCCTGAAGTACAGTTACTATATGTGGCTGTAATACAGTATGTCTGAGCCTGAAGTACAGTTACTATATGTGGCTGTAATACAGTATGTCTGAGCCTGAAGTACAGTTACTATATGTGGCTGTAATACAGTATGTCTGAGCCTGAAGTACAGTTACTATATGTGGCTGTAATACAGTATGTCTGAGCCTGAAGTACAGTTACTATATGTGGCTGTAATACAGTATGTCTGAGCCTGAAGTACAGTTACTATATGTGGCTGTAATACAGTATGTCTGAGCCTGAAGTACAGTTACTATATGTGGCTGTAATACAGTATGTCTGAGCCTGAAGTACAGTTACTATATGTGGCTGTAATACAGTATGTCTGAGCCTGAAGTACAGTTACTATATGTGGCTGTAATACAGTATGTCTGAGCCTGAAGTACAGTTACTATATGTGGCTGTAATACAGTATGTCTGAGCCTGAAGTACAGTTACTATATGTGGCTGTAATACAGTATGTCTGAGCCTGAAGTACAGTTACTATATGTGGCTGTAATACAGTATGTCTGAGCCTGAAGTACAGTTACTATATGTGGCTGTAATACAGTATGTCTGAGCCTGAAGTACAGTTACTATATGTGGCTGTAATACAGTATGTCTGAGCCTGAAGTACAGTTACTATATGTGGCTGTAATACAGTATGTCTGAGCCTGAAGTACAGTTACTATATGTGGCTGTAATACAGTATGTCTGAGCCTGAAGTACAGTTACTATATGTGGCTGTAATACAGTATGTCTGAGCCTGAAGTACAGTTACTATATGTGGCTGTAATACAGTATGTCTGAGCCTGAAGTACAGTTACTATATGTGGCTGTAATACAGTATGTCTGAGCCTGAAGTACAGTTACTATATGTGGCTGTAATACAGTATGTCTGAGCCTGAAGTACAGTTACTATATGTGGCTGTAATACAGTATGTCTGAGCCTGTCTGGTTGTTTTTCCGTGGTGGCCAAGTGGTTAAGACATCTGACATTCTACTACCACTAGCCCTTCACCACTGGGTCACGGGTTCGAGACCTACGTGGAGCAGTCGCCAGGTACTGACCATTGATCGGTGATTTTTCTCCAGGAACTCTGGCCTTCCACCACCACCAAAAGCTGGCACGTCCTTATATGACCATAGATGTTAATAGGACGTAAAACACAAATAAACCAAAAGTTATCAATTCACTACAGGAGATAATCTGAATAAACTCAGTGAGTTTCTTTCTAATGTCTAAACAACTGCTTACAGTTGTGGCCTATAATGTGTACTTGAGTACAGTTTAAAAGGAATTATGTGTTTATTAATTTAGTATAAAATATTTTAATACCTGAATTTTTGAGTTATAGATAGAAACGTTTGAAAGTTTGGTCATACATGCATAATATTTTAAGTGAGATTAAATGTCATTGCTCTCCGCCCAAAAACGATCTGGGCGGAACATAGCAATCAGGCAGGATATCTGTATGTCAGTTTACAGTCTTGTCCAAATGCTTACTTTAGAGAAAAGCTCTAACTTGGTATGTGAATCACCCTGGGGACAAGGAAACTGCATTGATTATTAGCTCCATTTGTCAAAAGCTCAAAGTCACTATTACAATTTTTTTTATTTATTTTTTTAGCAGATCCTATCTTCAGTATAACTAGGAAAGTGCATTGATTATGGACTTGATTTGTCAAAGCTCAAGGTCACTATTACAAAAAGAATATAACATTTTTTTACCAGATCCTATCTTCAGTACAAATCATGACATATAGCTCAAACTAGGTACCTGTATGTGATTCCTCCAGGGAAGATGTAATTGCCCTAAGCATGGACGTCAAAGGTCAAGGTCACCGGTCTTTAAAGTACCATTCTCTTGTCTGAATGATACCATTAAAATAGTTGGTCATCCTAAGAGCTTTAGACTTGTTAAGTGTGTTGACCGAGCCCTACCGATTTTGGCCATGTCCATCAAAGGTCAAGGTCACTCTTGCTAAAAAAAGAACATTATCCTTTCCTTACTTCAGAACAAATTATTCCACAAAGGTCAGTGTGGGTGAAGAGGATGAAGCTATTCATTCTGGGTGTTATTTGTAAAAGGTCAAGGTGAATGTTGCTAAAACAAAAATTGTCTAAATCTAATCTTGAGGTAACAATTTCAACCTATCAATGTGTTACTTACCATTTCACAATCACAGACCCTTTCTTATGAAAATGATATACCGGTATATACAACAAGAAATATTCCCCAGGAATTTACCAGGAGTTTACCAGGGGGACATGCTGCCCCCTCTCATGTTACAGTAATATTTGTGCTATTAAATATATAATTTTTTCATTTGGTTACAGGATCGTCTGCGGGGCATTGAATTTTCGGAGGAATGGCAGGACGACGACATTCCAGGAATGCCACCTACAGAGCAGGATGACGACGATGACTCGTCAGAATCGTCAGGGTCAAGGTCGAGGCACAGCAGTGATTCGAGTCGGGGAGAAGACGGACAAGGTATGATCAGTCGTCAAACTTTACCCTGAAATCAACAATTCTAAAATTTACTTCTACAGGGCAGGCACAGTGCTTTCTTATTTCTTGCAAGATTAAGAAAGATGCGTGAATCAATTGTTTTTAGGGCAGGGGAGGCGGGGGTCTTTAAAAATTCATTGTTTGAAATATGTCATGAATGGGTAAGTAACATGTCGGGTGGCGCAGTGGGTAACAGACTTGCTAATCACCAAGGCGGCCAGGGTTCAACTCCCCGATTACACGTGAAATTATGAGGTCACCTGCCCGACCACGTGGGTTTTCTCCGGGTACTCTGGTTTCCTTCCACATTAAGACCCCCCGCACGCCAACATCTGGGCCAACAAAAGTAATTAATATAAGTTGTAATAACTTGTTTCATAATTGTTGTGAAAGAAAGAAAGTTTATATGTAACATGTTAATTACCCCTGGGCTATTTATATTCTAAACCTACATTCAGTAATCTAGATTACTGCCAGATTTACATTACATTACACTCTCTAACCTTTAGTTCTAGATTACTGCCAGATTTACATTACATTACACTCTCTAACCTTTAGTTCTAGATTACTGCCAGATTTTAAGATGTTAATGCAAACACTCTTTGATCCTCACACATTATCTACTTTAAAGTGAGACCGTCTAATCTGACTGACCTTCAGAAGAAGAACAAGATGGCTGCCAATGACAACATCCTGACAGAGGATATGGGCAGTGACCTTGACCCAGCACTACTAGGGGAACTGGAGTGGGAGAGTAAGTCTAGACCGGGTTTCTAAACATTTCAACTTTGGAAACTGAAGAGGAAAATATGGGGCCTGTTCGTTTATGCAGAACAACAATTTCGGAAATTGATCCTGGCGGACCTGCAAATGTTTATGCAGGCCTTGCAAGGCTTTGTCAAGGCTCGCCTTAAAGCAGCATCAGATTACTTGGTTAGACCTTATTTAATAAACCAACAACTGTGGTCCAACTGGTTTAACCGTTAAAATGAAAACGGCCAAGGTCATTTCCGAGCTTCTGAACACAAGTGGCAAAACCAAAGTGTGAATTATGGTCGGTACTTATAGAAACTACATTGGAATCTGAGAGGAAGAGAATATCTTGTCTGGGTTATTAACACAACATTTCAATTTATGTTATTAGAAAGAGTTAAAACGTTTTTGCTCCGATGGTAGATCTTTTAACTCCTGTTTTTTCCAGATGATACTCCAATCAGAAGTCCCGCTGAACCTATCCCACAATACAGTGCTGAGGAGGAGCGGCAGGACGCTAAACTCTGGAGGCTGGTGGAAATCTCCGGGCGAGAACAGAAGATTGATTTAACAATCATTGAACCATTCAAGAGGGTTTTGTCTCATGGAGGTAATTACTACTAATCATACAAACTGTATTTATATACATACAGGTTCCCCAACAGTTCAAACAATCTGTATTTATATACATACTGGTTCCCCATCAATTCATACAAACTGTATTTATATACATACAGGTTCCCCAACAGTTCAAACAAACTGTATTTATATACATACTGGTTCCCCAACAATTCATACAAACTGTATTTATATACATACTGGTTCCCCAACAAGTGGTGCTTGGTTATGAAAGATGAAGTGCAAAGCATTGTTCCTTGATGCCATATTTTGACCAATAAGATAACCTCCAAGTTGGTAACTCAAAATGTGTGTAATAACTCCTAGCAGGTTTATCCCAGGAGTCGGGAGTGAGGAAGCCTTAAATAGTTGTTGTGGGGAAAAGGTATATATTGGAGCTGTCATGATACACTTTACACACGATTCGATACGTATCTCGATATTTGTACCACGATTCAATTTTTTCGATTCGATACACCTTTATTTTAAAATATAAACAAAATGAGATATATAAGCTGTCTATACACGAAAACCGGAAGTGTTTCCACACTTTTGATTTGAAGCTTGCCAGAGCATCACATATTTTTCATTTCCTTACCGTGGTCCGCCATTTTGTTATGAATACTTTGTGAAAATTGTATCCTGGCAGCCGATTGGCTGAGGGTTTAGAGATCAGCCATTGAAATCGAATGTCTCACAGACGTTTCGGCTGAAGCGGCATACACTAATATTCAGATCGTGCCGTATTGAAAATCCGGAAAAATATATCGTGAATCGAATCGAACATAAATAGTCGCGGTACAAGTGCATCGCGGTGAATCGTGACGCCTCTAATATATATTAGATATGAATATTATATGTTAAAAAGATGATGTGCCTTATGTGGCCAAAAACACAGCCTGTATTTATGAGCTAAGGGCCGGACACCAGATAATTAAAAAATATTGTATTGTAAGCTCCTTAATGTTGTGATTTAGATAAACTTGTGATATTGAATCTCCGTGTTATTATTACTATTATGTTTTATTATAGGTTACTATGGTGACGGCCTGAATGCTATCATCGTGTTTTCTGGGTGTTACTTGCCTGACCGAAGTCGGAAGGACTACAACTACATTATGGACAACCTATTCCTGTAGGTATAACGATACACATAGATAATCTATTCCTGTAGGTATACATTTAACACATAGATAATCTATTCCTGTATGTATACACTTTACACATAGATAATCTATTCCTGTAGGTATACACTTTACACATAGATAATCTATTCCTTTAGGTATACACTTTACACATAGACAATCTATTCCTGAAGGTATACACTTTTGTACACATAGATAATCTATTCCTGTAGGTATACACTTTCGTACACATAGATACCGTAAAATCTCAAAAATTAGCCTGCGTTGAAAAAAGGCCTGCCTTAATATTACACATTGAGTTCCAGGTGGTAGTCACATTCCCCCTGTCTGTCTAAACACGTTTTATTATTGCAATAATTGGATAAAATACATATTTCCAATTCAAAGGTTGGAATAGTTCATTATAAATTTCCAGGGGTGAATGAGTTAAGTACATAGTATTCTTATATTACAGATATGTTGTCAGTACCTTAGAACGTCTGGTTGCCGAGGACTACATGATTGTTTACTTCCATGGAGCCACGCCACGCAGACAGATGCCAAGCTTCAGCTGGTTAAAGAAGTGTTACCAGATGATAGACAGAAGGTGAGAAAGTTTGTGATAAAGAAAAGGCTTGAAAAATACGGCTAAATTAGGATGAAAATATTATGTGATTAGGACTGCAGCGTTATATTGTATTGCATTGCGATACTATGTTGTGTATTGTATCTAATTGTTGTTTGCCTGCATCGTGAAACAGTAAAACATGAAGTACTTAAATTATCAAACAATTTTCATCAAACTCTAAAAAAATGTGTACTTATAATTTTTTGAATCCTTCAGTAAAGATATGGTCCACTGTGCAGTCATACCCAAACGTACTAGAAATTATACAAAATATCTTTTGATAGTACAATGTATATACTTTTGAAGTATATGACAAATCTTGTCAAAATCCTACACTCAATCATTATGAAGTTAACCTTTTAAGCAGACATTTGTATCTTGATACATATCGTATCGTAAGAATCATACCTCGATATGTATCGTATCCTGAAGTATGCATATCATTGCAGCCATCTGTGACACAAGTTTTATCTTTCTACATTTAAGAAGAACCTAAAAGGTTTAATGCCGGTCCACATGCCCCTGTGATTGTTACCACTATGCAATTTTATGTTTGGAGACTCAAGAAGTACCTAAAAGGTTTAATGCTGGTCCACATGCCCCTGTGATTGTTACCACTATGCAATTTTATGTTTGGAGACTAAAGAAGAACCTAAAACATTTACTACTGGTCCACATGCCCCTATGATTGTTATCACAATACAATTTTATGTTTGTAGACTAAAGAAGAACCTAAAAGGTTTACTGCTGGTCCACCCAACCCTGTGGCTGAAGACCATCGTCATCATGACAAGACCATTCATAAGGTAAGATATATACAGGTAAAATATAATGCATGTACAGGTAAAGGTAAATATATACAGGTAAAATGTACAGGTAAAATATACAGGTAAAATGTATAAGGTAAAATATACACAGCAATGCTTACCTTATGTAACATGACCAGGACTGTCCTTCATGTCCACTGCAATCTCCATGTCTATAAATATGGTCAAGCTGACCTTAGGGCAAATGTATTTTTATCACTTATTATGGGGCTTTTTAGGAGATATATTTTAACTTCTTATGTAGGACATAGGGCTCTTTGAGGTCTTATGTAGGACATGGGGCTCTTTGAGGTCTTATGTAGGACATAGGGCTCATACATCTTGCCTAGAAGGACACTCTCTAAGAGATATTTTAACATCTGATGTATGATATGGGGCTCTTTCAGGGAAATGGTTAGGATGACGCTGTCTAGAAGATGTTTTGAAGTCTTATGTAGGACATGGGGCTCTTTCAGGTCTTATGTAGGACATAGGGCTCATACATCTTGCCTAGAAGGACAATCTCTAGGAGATATTTTGACATCTGATGTGTGAGATGGGCTCTTTCAGGGAAATGGTTATGATGACGCTGTCTAGAAGATGTTTTGAAGTCTTTTGTAGGACATAGGGCTCTTTGAGGTCTTATGTAGGACATAGGTCTCTTTTGGAGATCTTACCTAGGATAATGCTTTCTAGGAAATATTTTCGACATTTTATGAAGGATATTGGACTCTTTTTTTCTGGAAATTTAAGTTTCTTTCATAGGATAGAGCTCTTAGGAGATATTATAACATGTAGGAGATGGGGCTCTGGAAGGGGAAATTCTTTAACATGTAGAAGGTGGGGCTCTGGAAGGGGAAATTCTTTACCATGTAGAAGGCAATGCTGTCTTAGGGGATATTCTAAGGTCTGATTATACTGTAGCTAGTTCCAGACCTTCCAATAAAATTCCCAAATTAGTTTGAACTCATTCACCCCTAAAATTCTATAATGAATTATTACGACCTTTGAATTGGAAGGGTTCAAATGTGTCTTCAAGGGTGAATGAGTTACAGCCCTTAAATGAGTTTTACTGATGGTCCAATGTAAATGTGTGACTAGTAAGTCACCGACAACCCTATTTCTATATTTCAGTTCCAAGTTTAGCTCCAAGCTGCGGTTTGTGAGGTCCCTACAGGAGCTTGCTAGCCTAGTCCCAATGGAGTATATCTACGTCCCGGACCACGTACACAAGTAAGTGTTACCTACTCTCTAAACTATCACTGGTGTCGTTAACTGACTCACCCCTACATATCTAAACTGGACTTTGCCAGCCTTTGATTTGGTAAGGTTCAAATGTGACCTAAGGGATGAATGGGTTAATGACTCAATGGACCAATAGTTGTTCCATCAATCCTTCAAACGGGACAGTTTCTTGTTAGATATTGAAGTATTTTATACTGTAGTTCTATCAATCCTTCAAACGGGACAGTTTCTTGTTAGATATTGAAGTATTTTATACTGTAGTTCTATCAATCCTTCAAACGGGACAGTTTCTTGTTAGATATTGAAGTATTTTATACTGTAGTTCTATCAATCCTTCAAACGGGACAGTTTCTTGTTAGATATTGAAGTATTTTATACTGTAGTTCTATCAATCCTTCAAACGGGACAGTTTCTTGTTAGATATTGAAGTATTTTATACTGTAGTTCTATCAATCCTTCAAACGGGACAGTTTCTTGTTAGATATTGAAGTATTTTATACTGTAGTTCTATCAATCCTTCAAACGGGACAGTTTCTTGTTAGATATTGAAGTATTTTATACTGTAGTTCTATCAATCCTTCAAACGGGACAGTTTCTTGTTAGATATTGAAGTATTTTATACTGTAGTTCTATCAATCCTTCAAACGGGACAGTTTCTTGTTAGATATTGAAGTATTTTATACTGTAGTTCTATCAATCCTTCAAACGGGACAGTTTCTTGTTAGATATTGAAGTATTTTATACTGTAGTTCTATCAATCCTTCAAACGGGACAGTTTCTTGTTAGATATTGAAGTATTTTATACTGTAGTTCTATCAATCCTTCAAACGGGACAGTTTCTTGTTAGATATTGAAGTATTTTATACTGTAGTTCTATCAATCCTTCAAACGGGACAGTTTCTTGTTAGATATTGAAGTATTTTATACTGTAGTTCTATCAATCCTTCAAACGGGACAGTTTCTTGTTAGATATTGAAGTATTTTATACTGTAGTTCTATCAATCCTTCAAACGGGACAGTTTCTTGTTAGATATTGAAGTATTTTATACTGTAGTTCTATCAATCCTTCAAACGGGACAGTTTCTTGTTAGATATTGAAGTATTTTATACTGTAGTTCTATCAATCCTTCAAACGGGACAGTTTCTTGTTAGATATTGAAGTATTTTATACTGTAGTTCTATCAATCCTTCAAACGGGACAGTTTCTTGTTAGATATTGAAGTATTTTATACTGTAGTTCTATCAATCCTTCAAACGGGACAGTTTCTTGTTAGATATTGAAGTATTTTATACTGTAGTTCTATCAATCCTTCAAACGGGACAGTTTCTTGTTAGATATTGAAGTATTTTATACTGTAGTTCTATCAATCCTTCAAACGGGACAGTTTCTTGTTAGATATTGAAGTATTTTATACTGTAGTTCTATCAATCCTTCAAACGGGACAGTTTCTTGTTAGATATTGAAGTATTTTATACTGTAGTTCTATCAATCCTTCAAACGGGACAGTTTCTTGTTAGATATTGAAGTATTTTATACTGTAGTTCTATCAATCCTTCAAACGGGACAGTTTCTTGTTAGATATTGAAGTATTTTATACTGTAGTTCTATCAATCCTTCAAACGGGACAGTTTCTTGTTAGATATTGAAGTATTTTATACTGTAGTTCCATCAATCCTTCAAACGGGACAGTTTCTTGTTAGATATTGAAGTATTTTATACTGTAGTTCTATCAATTCTAGAAATGTTTGTTCATTTTTCATAAATAAATACCTTCAACATTTATTTGCTATTACATGATGGTATTTCCATGTATCTAGAAAGAGACATGTTGCTATTCTGGCTAATATTGGGGTATAAACAACCAATATCAGCAGAAAATAACACACAGGAAATAGCTTGGAGTCATAGGAGGTTCTGATTACAGATTCGTTTTATTATGATATCCTGATCACAGTCTTAGGGGTGTTTTGAATAGGCCTATAAACTGAAGCATATATGTGACTGTGATCACAGTTCCTCTTTCTTTAGCGAGATAGTGGAGGGGAAATGTGCTCTTGACAAGAGTGATAAAACTGATAGTTCAGGCAGCTCACCGCAAAAAATCAAAGAGCAATGGGATCAAAAATTTAAACCGGAATACAGAGAATGACATTTCCATTGTCATTATACAATATACGTGTAGGCAGGGGTTATACTTGTCATCCCCCTCGGTATCAGCTCTAGTTTACAACCATAAACTTTACATGTAACATAATGAGCAGCTAATGAAGCTGGTTTACAGATTAATTGACATCAGAGTGCCATAATATGAAAACTGCATAAAAATACTTCTCCGTGCATGAAGCCACTTTCATTGGCCCCACAAGTGTCTCACTGTGGGTACTGTCCTGTTGTGGGTACACTGACGTTACATTGAGAACCACTGCCTGTTATTTCATACTCTCACTGACTACCATAAGTCTGTGGTGTTGAACCCATAGACATATGTGAGGGTGTCGTGTTGAACCCATAGACGTATGTGAGGGTGTGGTGTTGAACCCATAGACGTATGTGAGAGTCTGGTGTTGAACCCATAGACGTATGTGAGGGTGTGGTGTTGTACCCATAGACGTATGTGAGGGGGTGGTGTTGAACCCATAGACGTATGTGAGGTTGTGGTGTTGAACCCATAGACGTTTGTGAGGGTGTGGTGTTGAACCCATAGACGTATGTGAGGGTGTGGTGTCGTCGTAACACATCAGACTTCTATCACATGATAATCCATGTTATGTATTTTACATTCTTTTTAAGGTTTGATGATAAATTAACAAAGCACTCCTCACAAGTATCCACGACCACCTCTGACCCTCCACCTTTGACCCCCACAGGCCCTTGACCCTGTACCTGCCAAAGCTGAAGTTATATGTAAGTTCTGTGAAATCAGATATTTTTTTGAGGCCCAAAACACCATTTCCTGAATTCGTTGATTACGAGTACTCACTCAAAGGGAGCTGTGCTTTATATAAAACTTGTAATTACTTTGTTTGTTTGTTTGTTTGTTTGTTTGTTGGGTTGACCTATGATTACCCATGAAATCAATGAAATTAAAACCCCACGAAAATTAGCAATTTCATGGTAATTGTTGAGAAAAAGAACAAGAAACTCACTGCAGTAAAATCGCTTGATTCCTATTTAAGGATTTGTGATCTGTCACAGGGATCATACTGAGAAACCTGCAGAAATCCTTTCTCGTAAGGATGACTTTGAATTTGATGTTTGTTATTAAACTCTTTCACCCCTAGGTAACTTAAGTAGACTCTACCATACATTTATCTGGGTGAGTCCATTATGGTCTACAGTGGTGAAAGGGTTATACATGATATTCCATCTTGATCAGGTTTTGATTGACTTTAAATATATGTCTGTGTATTTTTTATCAAATCCTTGAAGCCTTTTAGGCCTTTTTCCTGAAGAATAAAAATACAAAAACCTTGGAACACATACAAATTTTTTCTTTTGTTTTTATTAGATAGGATATTTGCCATGAACAGAAGTCTGAGCTCAGTGGCAGAAATATACAAACAGAAAGGGAGGAAAAGGAAAGGAATGAAGGAAAAACAGAAGAAATGAAAGGAAGCAGTAAAGGATAAATATATGATACAATACACAGGACTTTGACACTATAGTGAACAATACCACAATTATATTTCCATATTTTATCCTTATTTCTACGCAATGTTGATAGGTCTGTCCTATCTTAGGAGTTGTTGTGTTTTAAAGACTTTGTTTTAATTCATTATTACGCGTTATGATTAGATATATCGGTATACTTTGATTACTATGTGATTTCCTTCTCTCACCATGTCATAACCACAAACACCAGACCTGGTCCTTACTGCTGTCACCCGCAAATACTAAATATACAATAGACCTGCTGTTCTCGTCACTGTATCCGTGTCATAACCACAAACACCAGACCTGTTCCTTACTGCTGTCACCCACAAGTACTAAATATACAATAGACCTGCTGTTCTCGTCACTGTATCCGTGTCATAACCACAAACACCAGACCTGGTCCTTACTGCTGTTACCCACAAGTACTAAATATACAATTGACCTGCTGTTCTCGTCACTGTATCCGTGTCATAACCACAAACACGAGACGTGTTCCTTACTGCTGTGATACTGTCATTATAGAATAAACTAGAGCTGTAAGCCACAGGGTTACCAACCCTTTGTTCAACCTTTTAAGTTTTAATATTTTTTTCAAGAAACCTTCGACAAACGTTGTAGTACAAATGGATACCGGGTTACAAGAGAGACGAAAAGGGTAAAATGTAAAAAGTCGTGTAACAAAAAATTGGCGTTTTGATACCTGCTTGCCAACTCTCCCGATTTTGGACCTAAAACTGAGCATTTTCATCCATGGAATTTGCTAAACTGCTATTCCTATTTTCAGCTCACCTGGCCCGAAGTGGAAGTTACTCTTAAGAGAAACTCCTTTTGGTTGCTACATATGATATGGAATGGGATATACTTTAACTCTGAGTACACTCTTAGATATTATAATGATGCGGTGGTACTCTTTGTCTTAACCTTTCACCACTGTAGACCAGAATGGACTCATCCAGATAACTGTATGGTACTAAAGTTACCTAGGGGTGAAAGGGTTAAGTTAGCAGTTAACATTAATCACATTTTTTTTTCTTTTTAAATTATTTTGAACCAAATTTCTCTTTTTAACATGTTCTTGAAAATTATGATTATATTTGTTAGCGAGCTTACCAAGCAAGCTTTAAAGACTGAACCATACATGTGTAATGATATTGTAAACAATGATGCCATATGTGATTTCATGTGAATTGCCAAAGAATTATATTTTTAACATTTCATTTATGTGTAGTCAAACCTTGCTATGAAGTTGGTCTTTTTCTTAGATTATTGAAACTTAGGCCAAAATGTGAATGTCTTCCTCAGTGTAATAGAAAGTGAATCCCCCCTCAACCCCACCCCACAACCCCTACCCCACCCCGACCCCGACCCCGACCCCAACCATGTCAGTCAATAAACCTTGACTCTCGCTTTTTTCTTTCGTTCTCTCGTCTTTCGAGGTGAAAAGACGAAACAAGGAAATGACACAACTCAGTCACCGTAGTTATCAGACCGTGTGTGTTGTACAGGTTTTACAGATGTAGTTTGTGTGAATGTTTAACTTATTCACCCCTGAAGACACATTTGAACTCTTCCAATTCAAAGGTTGGAATAGCTCATTATAAAATTTCAGGGGTGAATGAGTTAAATTCTTTCATGTGAAAGATAAATTATCCATAGGCCCCAGGACCCAGTGTAGCTTTCCTATGTTAACCTGTCCTGCTGAGCTGGTCACAGGTCAGTATGATACCAGTAGCTGTGTTTTGCTTGTTGAATTATGAAATATGTGCCATTTTACCTGTGTTAAATATCTGTTACAAGTACACGGTTACATATGGTATATCAGATGAAAATATGTCATGTAAAGCTCACCTGGCTGAAGCTTGTGTGTTCAATTATGAATAAGTATAAACTTTGGCCACTAATTACCTTAAAGAAGATTGAAATGCAGTTTTTTGATGTATGGTTTTCAGGACTTACCTGAAAAATTACAGGTATTTTCCTACATCTTGTCATTAATAGAACTTTTCATGAACTTTCTAGTGTAGCGGGAACTTTTTACCGAAGTTTAACTTAAGCCTTTTTTACCAAAGAGGGGATTTTTTTTCATGAGAGTGAATATTAGTACTTAACACGCAATTTATAGGAATTACATGTGAAGGGAGAAATAAACTCTAGATTAACGTAAATTCTATTGGTAAACGTTGAATATCTGACTGGGCCAAAGTATTCATGTACCACTTCAGTTTTTAAAAAAAACAAAAAAAAACAGGTAAAGTTAACAGGACCCTGTTGAATTATTCAGGCCAACAGGCCCCTTGTTTTAATTGGCCAACATAAACCTGGTAATTGATACAATCACATCGCGATTTATCAATTGCATTATAGGAACTGTTAAGATTATATTGCTCAAATAGGATTGCAGAATTATTCTGTAAAAACTGTTCACATGGGGGAAAAAAACTCTTTTAGTCAATTCAATTTTCTTAATTATTTTGCTGTGAATCAAAATATCAGGACAAACAATATAACATTATTAATTGAAATTTAGTGATGTAAACAAATTCTTTATTAAAATATTGCTCTAATTATTGTACAAACTACAATCAATACAAGTTGATAATGGGAGATAATCCTGCAATTTTACCTATTTTGATAAAGGGAGATAATCCTGCAGTTTTACTATTTTGATAAAAGGATATCATCCTGCAGTTTTACCATTTTGATAAAGGGAGATAATCCTGCAGTTTTACCATTTTGATAAAGGGAGATAATCCTGAAATTTTACCGTTTTGATTTTTGATAAAGGGAGATCAATCTACAGTTTCCTATTTTGATAAAGGGAGATAATGCATTAATGTCCTGAATTGATGAGGACAGGTAAATCCCATGTTTTTATTTTACTACAAAGGGAAATAATATGATTATTTTTTTAAATTGGTAAGGGATATATTTCTCGACAGGGTGGTCAGATGACAAAGCAGATTATGCACTCACTTTTCACCAAGATGAACTCTGATCGATTCCCGAGTCTGATGGGAAAAGGTCTCCTACCATTAAAATTCATTGCACACCCCCAGCCAGCCTGATCGATTCATATAAGCTAAACAAATTATCATAATTTTCTTAAGAGGAATAAAGTTTATTTAAATTCATTTTAATTTATGTACTTTTGTTTAAATTGTTGAAGGGAAATTATCCTGCCCCTCCACACAGTAGTAAGGAGATTCAATCGATGTACTATTGATACCGGATGGTAAATTATTATTATACAGAAGTATATATTGATAAAGGGGGGAAACTTGTGTACTTTGATTTACATGGATAAGGATATATAATCCAGTGTAATTTACTGAGGAGATATGGGGAGATAACTTTGTACTTAACTATATCTATAAGGGGAGGTAATTCGTGACTATATTGAGAAAGAGGTAACTGTTGTCAGTAGTCAACTGTATATTTCTGTTGTTATTGGAAGTGAAATACCCATATTGTAAACTGCTGATGACCTTTTAACCCCAAGAAATATTAATGGACCATTCCATGTCAAAGTGTATTTGTTTGATTTAGGATACTCCAATAGGAGCATTTCGTGTGTCTTCCAAGAATTAGTATTAAGCTGGTGCAGTATTACACCATTTTGTTCCCTTAACCCTTTCACCACTGCAGACCATCATGAACTCATCCAGATGAATGTATGGTAGAGTCTACTCAAGTTACCTAGGGTGAAAAGGTTAATTTGTAATTGTTCTCTGTTCCCTATTTATCAATTTATTGTTAGATTTTAAATGATGCTTTAAATTATTCACCCCTCTCAAGTTTCATAATGAACTACTCCAACCTTTGAATTGGAAGAATTCAAATATGTCTTCAGGGGTGAATGAGTTAAGAATAAATAATTATGACACTTTTATTGATATGTTTAATTGTGTGCTATTGAATTTTACAATTGTTTATTTCATGATATCAATATTTGTCTATTTTTGCATTGCCACCAAAAAAACTCTTCACCAATTTGAACATTTTAGAATTGTAGATGTTTGACTTGTGTAGTGTTACTCTACTATTATAGAATAGTTATATACTTTTTACAGGATTCACAGGGCTAGAAACTAAGTTTAGAAACAACTAATCAGTTGGACTAGTAGTTTCCGATTTTTCAAGCCGATGTGTAAAATGAAATTAAATCTTATTCAACAAAATAGTTTATACCAAATTTTTACTAATAAATCCCAACAGGTAAATCTGTAACCACATGTGTTCCCTGCAGGTGTTATAGTTGTTCCCAACCGGTTAATCTGTAACCAACACCAAAGAGTTTCCATTGGGATAATTTTACAGGTGTATCTAAAAAGTTAAGTATACAGGTAGATTATTGGAACAGGTAATGTTACAGCTATATAAATGCCAACAGTAAAACTTACAGGTAAAAATAATCCAACAGGCAAATATTTCTTGTTACTTAACATTTCCTCAGAATATACATGTTCACTGATAGATATTGTTAAGTATAGTACAGTACACCGTTGTTTAGCAAAGTCAAAGTTAAAACCATTTACTTTCACTTATTTCATGATATTTGTTTTGTACTTTTGAAGTTTGTGGAATTATTTATTTACTTTGTTCATCCTTTGTAGGAATGAAGTATGTGACAGTCACTAAAATGTGACCTTTTATTGTGCTTCCCCAGTACTGAAATATATATCATATGTTGTACACCTCATGTTACTGAAATTCAATCATTCATTAACTTATTCACCCCTGAAGACACATTTGAACTCTTCCAATTCAAAGGTTGGAATAGTTCATTATGGAATTTCGGGGGTGAATGAGTTAATCCCCCCTCTACTGATGTTTAAACTATCCATTGTGCTCCCTCGCTGTTGACATTTAAACATGTCATTGAGCTTTCCCTTTATTAAAGTTTATAGATAAAATTGTGCTCCCACTTTACTGAAATCTGTACATGTTGTATTCCACCAGTTACTTAATAAAACCCATATAGTACTCTTAGTTACTGAAATTCACATTGTTCCCTGATGTTGGCCGTTTGTCACATTTAATGGAATCTTTTCCCTGATGTGGATTATTAATCTATGTGGTGAAGAGTACAAGTTTTATGTATATTAAGATATAGTTCGAGTGGAAAGTATTGCTTATATTTTTAACCAGATTCTATTGTGATGTAAGTAATCAATAAATATGGATTATATATACTTCAGAGTAAGAGTTGTTCTTAAACTGGTGTAGAATCTTACACTATCATTACAGCGATACATGAAACCTCGGCAAGTTCTGGGACAGGTTTGGTTTGTTTGTGTTTTACGTCCTATTAACAGCTGTGGTCATTTAAGGACCTGCCAGGTTTTGGTGGTGGCAGAAAGCCAGAGTTCCCGGAGATAAAACAACGACCTACCGTACGGCCACTACCTGAGGTCAACTGCCCCACGTAGGTCTCGAGGGCTTGTGGTGTAGAATGTCAGACGCCTTATATCAACAATTTGGCCACCGCAGCCCCTCGCGGACAGAATACGTCAACCCAACCTGCATGTGTACAAACTTTCAAGAAAAGCGGAGAGATGGAAAAGAAATGTGGAGGAATTCTTTTTTAACTTGAAATTATAAAGTAAGGAAAAGGTATAATACGTAAAAAGATCAATGTAAGAGTTATAGTTAACCTGGACCACTAACTACCCACTGTACAACAAATAAAACACAGAGAAGGCGAAACCTAAACAAAACAGAACAATATTTTGAGGTGGTCAAGAGACGAAAACGTCCAACATAGAACGAACCCAGGTAGATCTAGGTATATATATAACGAATCCAGGTAGATCTAGGTATATATAGAATTAATCCAGGTAGATATAGGTATATATAGAACGAATCCAGGTAGATCTAGGTATATGAGTCATTATCAGAAATTGACCGATATTGTGTTCCAGCACTTTGAGATGAATTTGTATGATCAAATAATAAAACTGTCCATTTCTGGTGTATTTACATTAAAGACATGTACTAATACAATAAGAAAAAGATCCATTTAAAAAAAAAAATGTTTACAAAAGAAAACTGAAATTATAAAGACCAAAAGTGAAAAGCGGTTGTTGTCCATTGGTAGGGTGGGCTGATTGACATTAAAAAAAAGAGTTATTCACACCAGTCAATGTACATTTCTTATTCTAATTTATTGAGAAAACATTCTATATTTCACTTTAAATATGAAAATAAATTGATATTTTAATATTTTAGTTATTTAAACGAAAAAAATATTTTGTACTTGATTTTCATGTCTTTCATGTTACCGGTACTGATTTTGGTTCACTTGATGAACTGGTACCAGCTTGCTTATATTTCCCATCCTGCAACTGAAGCAGCACCATTTCCTGTTCAAACCAGCATGCCATGGTGGCAGTTATAAAAACAGAAGGCCAACCAAACGACCATCCAGTGTAAGTACCGACTCATGTTTCATTTTATTTGTCTATGATGTTACCATGATTGTGAGAAATGTAAAAGGTATGGTACATATTTCAAAATATGTCTCTAACAGTCCAGTTATCACAAACATATTTTTGGCGGCAAAAACTTTTTCTGCACTACACAGAGCAGGTTAAGCTAGGTAATTAGGTCAAATGTCTATGGTGTTACTGTCTTTCATGTTACCATATAAAAAGTAACACCATAGACATATTTGGTAACATGATAGACAAACACGTTCATTTTCCCTTTTCTTTAGTTGTAATTTTGTAGTAAAAAAACAACGTTCAGATAAAAGACCATGTTATATATTTACACAACGTGT